GAAAGGTGATGGAGAAGGAAGGGAGACAGGGTGAGTAGCTCTCAGGGCCCTGGGCCCAGCCTGGATGTCCTTTGATGGTGGGGGCGGTGCCTGATGACAACGGCAAGGTCAGACTGCTTTGAATCCTTCTCAAACTGGGTGATACCTTCGGATCCCTCCAGAGATACTCCGCGCCTAACTGAGGGGCTAGAAATGTCAAAAAAAAGAGAAATCTGCCCACACAACCTCTGGACATAGAGGGCAAAAGCTCTGTGTGCTCCACTGCACTCTGGGTAGAGACCCACTTTCCCAAATTCAAGTGTTCTGTCTAGGACAAGTGTCTGAAGTGCACTGCACTGCAAATGTGGGTCAAGGCAGCATCCTTTGTTTCTCTCCAAATGCCCCTGCCCCAGCCCTTTCCACCCCTGTTAAAATTGTTATACCTGTCTTTCATCTGTGCTCTGGAGTAACTCCCATGTTGTAGGTGCTCAGTACATCTAGAATCCCTGAATAAATGCTTGACATTAACCTCAAAGATCCGGGAGCAGTTGCCTTTTTTGGAGGTAGGTCTTAAGCCATTGCAGCTGGAAGGGGCCAAGCACAGGGTGCAAAGACTATTGTGCCAGGCCACTTTTATCGTGCATCCTCCCACCCCCACTCCCGGGCCTGGTGGCCCAGCCCCTCCATCCAAGAAACAAGTGGTCCAGTCCACCACCCAGCTCTTGTCCTGCCTGGATCGCCGACTCCGAGTTCTAGGAGGGAGGTCAGGCTTCAGGAGGAGCTTCCACACGGGGGCGCTGAGAGGGCACCGGAGGAGTGAAGCCAGACTCTGTAGCGTCATCTGGGGTGGTGGAATCCTGATCCTCCGCCAGACAGCTGCTCCCCTCCGTTCAAGGGTCCCCACCAAGCAGACGTGACTCCTCACTGGCACCCTGCCCTCCTTCGTCCCCTTCCAGCTCCCCTACTCTCTTGTCCTGCCCCCACCATGCCTTTCTCGGCTCTAGTTTGCGTTTCTCAGTCAAGGTGAAAGCACCCGAGTGGGGGGCAGATAGGTTCGGGTCCCGACTGGGCCGCTTCATAGTTGGGTGGCCTCATCCAAGGCGCGCGGCCTCCCCCCACACCGGCTGGGAAAATGGACCGATCATCCCACCTAGTTTGGGTCGAGTCTGCATCCCGCCCTCGGCTCCTCGAGTTTCTCTCTTCTCCAAGCATTTAAAAAAGATCCCTTCCTCCTGCGCCCTTTCTCCTCTCGGCTCCGCAGTCGTAGCCAAACCGCAGCCCTTAGCAATCCAGAGCGCCCACCCGGCGCCCGGGAGCGCCCCGCCACGGCCACGACCCACCCCGCGGCCAGACCGCCCCCCGTGCCCGCGCCTGACCCGGGCCTCCGGGGCGCACCTCGCCTCGAAGGACCTCGCCCGCCCCTGGCCCAGCCCACCCGGAATCTCACCACCCCGACCAGCTCCCGCCAGCAGTCAGCCGAGGGTCACGCCCCTCCCTGGCTGCGGGGCCCCACGCCACCCCGCCAGGGCTGCGAGGACGCGGTGAGGCGGGGCGCGCCGGCCAGGGCCATGCCCGGGTGGCCGAGGGCACCGGGCGGGGCGGCGAGCTCCAACGCCAAGGCTGCCAGCGCCAGCCCGACCGCAGCCCGAAGGCATTGCTGTAAATAGCCGCGGTTTCCATCCTGGGCTTTGCGTCCCTCCCGGCTTTCCGGATCTTTGGGATTTTCTTTTTCCCCGCCTCCCTCTCCTCTGCCCTAAAGCCCCTGCCACCTCCCCGCTGTGCACCCACCACATCCTGTCCCCATAAGAGATGGTTCGTGCGCTGGCGGGGCCAGGAAATCGGCTCTGAGGTCCAGAGTTCCAAAGGTCAAATAATCACAAAAGTTAAGTTAGGATTAATTGAACACATACTATGTGCCCTGTGCTAGCTCTTTAAGGGTGAAAATTCCTGAAATCTTTACTACCACCCAATGAGGGGAGGCTCCAGTTTGCAGATGGAGACCAGAGAGACGACTCAGGTGGTACGGTCCCGTCGGTCACCTCAGTCACCTCATTTGGACTTGCAGAATGTGAAGCCTCCTCCCTCCGGCAGAGGCTCGGGCTGTTGTTACTTTGCTTTCAATCCTGTGTTGCTTGTCCTGGTGGGCAGGGGCCCCAGTGGGAAGTGGGAAGCAGCCACTGGGACCTCTCATCTGCAACCGATTCTCAGTGTAACCCAGAGCAAGCCCAACCTGCCTCAGTTTCCACATTTGTAAAATGAAGGGGATGAAAAGCAAAACTGTTTCCTGTAAGAAAGAACTTAACAATGGTGGGAAACCCAACGTGGAATAAGGGGTATTAAGTGCCCTGCCTTTGGGAAGTTCCATGGAGGCTGAGTGACTGCCACCTGGAGGGTTGAGACAGAACCACAGACCAGGGATGGCAACATCAGAATGGGCTAGGCCAGGGGATCTGTATTTTAGCAAATGCAGGCATTCCCAAGCCACCGGTTTGGGGATCCACCGGAGATTCCCGGAAGTGGTGAAGGTGATGTGTGTTGCATGTTTCTTAAGGACCTGCCGTGTGCCAAGTACACATGGATGACAGCCCACTCTCAGAGAGCTCATGGCAGACTAGCAGGGCTGTCCTCAGCCCAGCTGGACCCTCCAGGAGAAATAGAGCAAAGTGCCTCCTTCAGGGGTGTGCAGGCTGCCACCAGGCTGTGCATCTCAGTGAGCAGAGCAAGGGCTGGGTTTTGCCTCCATTCTCCCCCTCAGCAGCTACCTCTGTGCAGGACACAACCTGCATACCTCCCACTGCAGCCTATGTGGAGCCGCAAGAGATACACAAGCGAGAGATACTTGAGAGAGCCCAGGAAAAGGGGCCAAATAATTCTTGCTGGAGTTAAGAATAGAGACAGAAGTCTAGCCGGTGTGGACCTCCCATGGCCTGAGAGGTCCCAGTTCAATTCCCAGTCAGTGGGGTGCAGGCTTGATCCCCAGTGGGGGGTCATGTAGGAGGCAGCCAATCGATGGTTCTCACATCAATGTTTCTATCTCTCTCTTTCCCTTCCTCTCTAAAAAAAATCAATAAAAACATTAAAAAAGAAAAAAAAAAAAGAGTCCGGCCGGTGTGGCTCAGTGGCTGAGCATCAACCCATGCACCCAGAGGTTGCCTGTTTGATTCCCAGTCAGGACACATGCCTGCGTTGTGAGCCGGATCCCTAGTGGGGGGCATACAGGAGGCGGCCAGTCTATGTTCTCTCTCATCGATGTTTCTATCTCTCTGTCCTTCTCACTTCATCTCTCTCTAAAATCAATAAAGGGGAAAAAAAGAAAAAAAGAGCCCTGGCCGGTTTGGCTCAGCAGTTAGAGCATTAGTCTGCGGACCAACAGGTCGCAGGTTCAATTCCAGTCAAGGGCATGTACCTTGGTTGTGGTTCTTCCCCAGCCCTGGTCAAGGTCATATGGGAAGCAACCAGTCGATGTGTCCCTCTCGTGTTAATGTTTCTCTCTCTCTCCCTCTCTCCCACTCTACCTGAAGATAAATGGAAAAATATTCTCGGGTGAGGATTAAAAAAAAAGAATAGAGACAGAAAAACTCTATTGAGGACGTGGCCATTAAGTTGGACCTTTACGGATGGGTGGGAGTTCACCAGGTGGAAAGGGAGGTCCAGGCAGAGACAACAGCCAAGGCCACAGCCATTAAGTTGGACCTTTACGGATGGGTGGGAGTTCACCAGGTGGAAAGGGAGGTCCAGGCAGAGACAACAGCCAAGGCCACAGCATGGGGGTGAGAAATCTCAACCTGTCCAAGGGCAGGGAATGGCTACGGGGCAAACTGGGGAGGGGACACGCCCTTCCCTGGCTCCCTTCTCTATGCCAGCACTAACTGAACAGAGCTTATCTGCCACCCAGAAGTTTCCTCTCCTGGGCTGTGAGGAGCTGCGGGACAGAGACAGTGGCTTATTCATCTTCTGTGGCCGAGTGCCTCGCCCAGTGTCAATAATTACAACAGTAATAAGAGTTAACAGGTATTAAATATTTACCATCACACATTGTCCTAAGTGCTTCACATGCATTATCTCATTTCATCCTCAAACAACTTTGGAAATAAGTGCTATTATTAATCTCATTTTACAGATGAGAATTCTAAGGTTTGGAGGGGCTAAGTAATGTGCCCAAGGTCACACAGCTACTTAGTGGTGGAGCTAGGACAGGAATTCAAGTCTCTCCGACCGCAACACAGTTCCCTTGTTCTACACGGATGGACGGACGGACGGAGACAGGGTGGAGCTAAGTGAAGAAGGGCCTTGAATGCCATATTAGGGAGCTTGAACTTTATGCCAAGGGCAGTGGGGAGACACTGGAAGTTTGTAAGTAGGGAGAAACAGGCCAGGTTAGGGCTTTCGAAAGATCGCGTACAACAGTCAGAAGGTAGGTAAGAGCCAATGACCCTGGAGCAGGAAACCATTTCTCTGGCCAATCCCAGTTCCCACTTGTGAGGAGCCTCATTTCACTAAGCACTACGTTATTTCTCTTAGGGCAAGACCTGTGTTTCTATGTACGCATGGGGACTATTGATGGAGGGGAACACTGAGGAAGTGGGGCTCAGTGACGGGAAGGGGAGACAAGAGGCGGAATGCTGGCTGAGTTCTGGGAAGAGGCCTCTCCTACAGGGCAACAGAGCACCAGGAAGGGAGGAGCCACACAGTTCCTCTCCCCATTCCCAAGATGACAAGGGCCCCCGGGGCTTCCAGCCAAAAACCTGGGCGCACTGGGTCCCACACACTGCCCCATTGTGCACCTGCCACCACAGGGAATGCAGCCAAAGGTGAGGCAGCTATTGCACCAGAGCGCTAAGCCCCAGGATCAAGTGCTGGGGGCGGTGATGGGAGAGGTCTGGTCCCTCCTCTGAGCATGGAATATCATTAGTCTTTCCAGGCAGGGTGGGAGGGGAGTCACAGGAAATGTCCCTGGGAGGTCAGATAAGCTAAAGGAAGAAGCAGGGTAGCTGGAGGGACAAGGAGCAGGTGGAGCCTCCCTCGCCCACAGGAAAGGAGCCAGAGAGGACTGGGCCGGCTGGAGGCAGCGTCCTCAGGCTGAGGGGACTCCCAGAGGGTCCCAGCACAGCGCAGCGCTCGCCATGCTGCTCTGCGCCATCCTGCTTCTCCTGACGGGGCTGACGGGGCTGTGTGCGTGCACTGTGGCAGGTGACAAGAAACTGGCACTCGGTGCTGCTGAAGCAGGGCCTTGGGTAACCGTGACCCTGGAGGTAACTTTGGGGAAAGGCAGGGGGTGATCCATGGTTGAGGGGGCAGAAGATCCCCTCTGTGGCTGTCCACTGCAAGGCAGGTTGTCTGACTCCTCTCTGTAGGCAGGTTCAAGGCCACGGCCCCTGACCTGACCAAGCTCCAAAGGGGCACATGCCTGTGGGAATGCCAGAGAGAGAGACTTTATTTAACACTTACTTAACATATATGTCCTAAATGCTTCATAAACATTAACCCATTTAAACTCATGTCAACTTTATGAGGAAAGTAGCACTTCATAGATAAGGAAACTCAGGCACAGAACGGTCAAGCACTTTGTCCAAGGTTGTGCACCTTCCAAAGCACAACTGCACACCTTGCCCACGGTCTGGTCTATGAAGCTGGGTATCAGAGGACATTTTCCAGAACTTCAAAGGGAGCGGCTTGGGGCAGGACCAGTGTTGTCTCATGTAGAAACTCTCACTTCCTGACACACACTGGTTGACTGACAGTCTCTCCTGCTAGACTGAGTGCTGTCCCTGGGGAGAACTCTAGAGGTTCGAGCACCTGTGTCCCACTGCATGTGGCAGGGGAGACAAAGATCCTGACCTTGGGGAGCTTCTAATTAGATGGGGTAGAGAGGCCAAAGGACCAGAGAAGGCAGGACCAGTGCTCAGGGAAGGCTTCCAGGAGGGTGGACCGTGGGACAAGGCCAAGCCTGGCTCCTCCTAGTCCCAGGATGGTGGGGACACTGGGGCCCACAGGAACAACCATCCGTGGGGAGTGTTCTTCCTGGTTTGCCTGAATGTAGAAGTGTGTGCAGTTGAGAAGACAGCAGGATGGGGAGGCCTGGGTTCAAGTCTCAGCTTCTCCATTGACTCTGTGTGACCTTGGGAAGGTCACTGCTGCTCTCTGGACATGTTTCCTCACCTGTAAAATGGGGGGAAATACTGATCCCCAGGGTATTTTTCAAGCTTTCTGGATGGAGTGTGTGCCAAGCATCAGGGGACCTGATCCAGGCACAGGGCAGCGAGCTGTGACGGGGAGCTCTCTGCACAGCCACGCGGGAACATCGACTTCAACTGGTGCTGCTGGGCTTTCCACCTGCAAGCACCTCGCCCTGCAGCCGCTCAGCTGCGTATTCTCCTGCACTCTCATTCCACTCCCTCTGCTTCCTGAGGCACGGGGCTTAGAATACAGGGACCGCCTGGCCGGCTTGGCTCAGCGGTTAGAGCGTCCGCCTGCGGTCCAGAGAGACCCGGGTTTGGTTCCCACTAAGGGCACGTACCTCGGTTGCAGTTTGGCCCTGGCCCTGGTTGGTCGTGCAGGTGGCAACCACTTGATGTGTCCCTTTCACGTCGATGTTTCTCTCTCTCTCTCTCTCTCTCTCTCTCTCTCTCTCTCTCTTTCCCTCTCCCCCCCTCCCTCCCTCCCTCCCACTCTATCTGAACAAAATATGGAAAAATGTTCTCAGGTGAGGATTAAAAAAAATACAAAAACCATTAAGACAAGTGGGGTGACGGAAGGAATGGAGGCACCGTCAGGGATCATCTGAGCACCCCCTAGCTCTCAGGCTCCCCTCCTGCAGTTATCCCTAGAGAAGGTGATTTAGATTAAGTGGATAAGGAGAGGACTTGGAGGGGCACAGGTGTTCTTCCTGAGTGAAGAGAAGGATGTCTCCTAAGAACCCCCAGAAACCCAGTAGGTAGACGAAAGGTGAGTCTTATTTAATTTATAAATAGTCATTCTCCCCAGCTTGTACTTGACGGCTGCCTTTTACCAGGGCAAAGTGGTTTTCATGAGCTTTTCAGAAATGGGTCCAAATCTCCAAGAAACTTTTCTGGTTCTTGGCCAGGTAAGTAACGCCAGCCTGAGACAGCTGCCCCGGCCACTGACATCCTGGGGAGGAGACAGATCGGAAGTGACTGAATGAGTCCAAGTCTGAGAAAAAAATCCACTCCTACTCCTGAAAGTTGGGACACAATGAGGTGTGAGAGGAACAGGTTTCCTCTGCATCCCAGCCAGGTCCCTGCTGCTTCCTGGAGCTCCAGCGCTGCCCCTGGGGACACTGGGGGTGCAAGAGGGAGCCCCTGACCCCACCCCAGATCCCAGCCTCCTGGCAGGTGGCTTCATCACTGTTCGCTGGTCTTCAGCCTTCCTGATAAAAGAGACCCCCATCGTCTTCCCTCTTCCCAGACTGTTGAAGGGCCCCTGTTCGGCATTCTGTAGCCCACACGTGCTGAGCTTGTGTGCCTGTCAGGTGCTGTGCCGGGCACCACGGACGCAGAGATGTGAAGTTCTCATGAATGTCACCCACTGTTACTCTCCCACTAGTGAGACTCCTCCTTTTAGCAGGGGGCAGAGAGGGAGAGAACTTTGGCGAAGGCTAATGGGGGAATGACTACTTCCATCAGTAGCCCTTGGCGCAGAACTTTTACCGCATTAGCTCAATGAAAATGTCCCTGCCCAGAATAGTGGCCTCCACCCCAGGCCACGTGCCATGTTCCTCAGGGAAGGCCCAGGCTCCAGGGCAGACATCTGGGACAATGGAGGAATGCCAGGGGAAGAGAGACCGGAGTGGGTCAGGAGGGAGGCAGTTCCACCTTTCCTAGTGGATGCCCACCGAGTCCATCAGCTGCCCCTCCTTGTCTGTGCTGGAGACATTTCCCAAGATGGAGCAGAACCCGGGCTCTGAAGCCAGACTCCTGAGTTTACACCTGGCTCTACCACTTCCTGTGTGATCTGGGACAAATCCCTTAACCTCCATAAGCCTCAGTGTCCCCATCTACAAAAGGAGGATAAATCACAGCCCCTGCTTCATACGGTGGTTGTGAAGAGTAAGTGAAATGAGGACCGTGGTGTTTGAGCCTCTGAGGCAGAGGACAGTTCCAAGTCTGGCACCATCTCTCGTGTCCTAGCTGGTGACCTCGGACAAATTATTTAATCTCTCTGTGCCTCGGTGCCTTCATCTATAAAAAGGTGACAATAATAGTGCTTACTTCATGGGGTTTCGGTGAGGATTAAATGGAATGAACATGTTTAAGTGCTTAGAACAGAGCCAGGAACATCATAGGTGAAATGTTGGCTATTAATTATTACTACTGCGTAGTATTGTGTAAAATCTGCAAGAGCCCAGTACCAGCACAGAACAAGTGTTACTGAGACTTACTGCTCAGGTTGCCCTCCCGATCTCGCCAGCCTCCCTCCAACTCTAACTCTAACCAACTCTACTTTTTCAGGAAGGTGCTGACCCCAGCATTCAGCTCCACTTTCAAGAGGTGAAGAAGGGCAAAGCCAAACAGTTCTTTGGACTGATGGGGAAGCAGGTGGGAGGTGAGTGACCAAGCTGGACGGGCGCCCGTGGAGGAGTTACACCGGGCGGGGGTCCCAGCTTAAAGCCCAGGACGCAAAGTCTGTTACTTCAGGCCGGAAGGGGTCACTCAGGCGAAGGGGGTGGGGTAGAGTGTCCATATAAATTATCATCCAAACCAGGACACTTTGGAGAGTGATAATTACACCAGGTAAATTTGGGTTGTCTCTGGCATATGGTCACCCTAAGGGTACAGGCAAATGCTTTGCTCTGCTGGTGTCCTCACCTTCCACACGATGAAAGATTTGGAAGAGTGGTGACGCTACAGATCAGTGTCTCCATGTGAGCAAGGCCACAGGCCAAGCTTTCTAGTTCTGTGTGTCTCAAACAGAATTATTAAAATGAACCTGCAATGACTTGGCCGGTTTTGCTCAGTGGTTAGAGCATCGGCCCACGGACCAAAGATCAAGGGTTCAATTCCCAGTCAGGGTTGTGCAGAAGGCAAACAAATCAATGTGTCTCTCTCACATCCATGTTTCTCTCTCTCTCTCTCCCCGCCCCCCTCTTCCACTCTATCTAAAAAAGTCAATGGAACAATATTCTCAGGTGAGGATTAACAACAAAATCGAATAAACCTGCATTCCTGGAGGGGACCCTCAATGCAGGATTCATGTCCTGGGGGGACAAGGATAAAACAGTCTGGACAAAGAGCAGTTTTCTCTTTCTTATTGTCAACATTATATATATTTTAGTGGTATTGATGAGGGTATGAAGGACCTGGCACTTACAACCTGTCTACTTGGAAGAAACGTTGACAATGGCCCTCCAAGTTGGAAAATGTGTGTACCTTTTGACCAAGTCTCACTTAGGGAATCTGTCAAGTAGAAATACACACGCCCTGAGGATGCACCAGAGTGCTCATTGACAACTTGTCTGTAACAGCAAGAATTTAGAAACAACATGAAAACCATCAGCAGGGGAATGGTCAAAATATGTAAGGCACATCATAGCTTTTGTGGCCACTGAAAAGGATGAGGCAGATCTGTGCAGAGATACGGGAAGATCTCCAAGATACTGGTTGAGTGGAAAAAGCAAGTTATATAACAATATATATAACAGGAGCTTACTTGTTTTTTTCGTTTGTTTTTTGTTTTTTAAATGACATACTCACAAACATACATGTACATGCACAGGGAAAGTTCTAGAAGGATAATTATCAAACCGTCAACAGTAATTACAATGAGGACAGGAAGTGGAGGTGAAGGAGAACGAGTAAAGAGGGACTTTAATTTTTACTGTACAAGCCAATACATTACTCGATTCCTTTTATAGTGGACAAGTATTTAAAGACTGCTTTTATAATTTAAAATATGCATGTAAAAATAGAGAAAACCAACTTGTGACCAAACACTTTTGGCCTCGACAAAATGAGTTTTGGACTGGGCCATTTCAGAGTTCTCTTCCAAATCCAACAACCCATAAGCAGCAGGGGGTAGGAGTACAAGAGAAATATTTATTGAATACCTACTATGCTCACACGTGATTAAATCTCACAATCCCCCTTCACCCTGATCGAGGAAACTAAGGTTCAGATAGGTTCGATGCTTTTGCAAGGATGCCCAGCCAGTGCCAGGTGCCAGTGGCTTCCCACTCTCCCACACTGCCTCCTAGCAGCAGCCGAGTGGCTCCGCCACAGGAGGACAATGCGGAGTGCCTGGCGTTCCACCCAACATAGGCATCGCGCCCAGAGAGCCCTGAGCTCCTCCCACTCCCCCAGCGCCCAGGGAAGCAGTGCGGCTCTCATTCCTTCTCTTTTCCCCAGGAATACCTCCTATTCAGCCAAAGAGAAACATGGGTAAGTGTCCAGACCTTTCCCTTAGCATGCTCCCTGGGGAGGGGTTAAGTTGTCCTAGCCTCTAACAAGTCAGGGAGGTGGGGAGGGAAGCTCTGGCCAGGGGCACACATGCCAAGCTGGCATTGCCAAGGGTGGGGCCACCGTGGTTTGGCCACATGCTCAGCTTCCTGGTTGCTTCCTCAAAGGGGTGGTCTGTGCATGTCTAGGGAGTCGGTGCAAGGATAAGGAGGAAATGATATGAATTCGGTTCTGCCAAAAGTTCAAAATTACCTTGGGTAATTTTTACCTAAAGCCTGGAACTGGAAAAACTAATCAATCTATTTCCCATCTTGTACCCTCAAGGATCTTTTTTTTTTTTTAATTCTCACCCGAGGACATTTTTACATTTTTTTCTTGAGATAGAGTGGGAGGGAGAGAGGAAGAGAGAGAAACATCAATGTTGAGAGAGACACATCGAGTGGCTGCCACCCACACGACCCCAACCAGGGCCGGAGACAAACTGCAACAGAGGTACGTGCCCTTAGCGGGAACCATACCCAGGTCTCTCTGGTCCGCAGGCCGACGCTCTAACCACTGAGCAAAATGGGCCAGGGCTCCTTCAAGGATCTTAGGAGTGCAAATCTAAGCAGCCTAAAAATCTGGTGAAAAGGAAAAAAGAAAATCAACCAACATTTACCCACCCTCGATTCCCCATCCCTCACCTCCAGTGCTCCCGGGATCAAGGCCAATGCCCTAAGGACTTACATCCTTCGGGGCTGCCCCGACTGACTGGACCCCTACCCTAGCCCCATCTCCCCTTCCCTGACCACCTGTCCCACCCAGACGGAGCTTGTCTCAACGGCCTGGGCATGATACTGTCCTTGGCACACCACACTGTCCTGGTCCCTCGAGTGGAAGCCCTCCCAGTCAGGGAGCAGAGCTGCCATCTCCTCTGCATCCACAACACCCAGCAGCTCCCATAAGAGGTGCCCACCAGGTGTTTGTGGAAGGAAGGGCAGGAGAGAGGGAGAATGGAAGAGAAAGACGGAATCAATGAATGAATCATGGAATAAATGGACCAATCCATGGTTTTTCTTCAACTCCCAGATTCAAAAATGATTCCATTTATGAATCCCCAGCTCTGGCCCTTCTTAGTTCCCAAGACAGCCTTCCTCTGCCGCACTTTCTCTCTTTCTTCTCTCTTCTCTCTCTGTCACCAGGGCATCAGCAAGGACAGATGGTCCATGACCTCCTTGGCAAGAGAGAACCGTCTACAAAAGGTAGGCAACGGGCTCTAGTAGGTTGTAAGGACATCATGACAAAATGACCAGATACTTTGCTGTCAGTCTCCACAATGGGGGCCAGGCAGCTGAATAGACAGACAGGGTCCCCACAGGCCATTAGGCACAGAGACCCCACAGAAGAGAACAGTCAAGGTACAGGGAGGTGGTCGCTTTGCTGATCCAGGCCTGAAAAAACAGCTGTAGCCCTGCAGCTTCATCCTCTCCAACCTCAACACATCTAGGTGCGCTCTGCCCCCCACCCCGCCTCAGGGCCAGCGGAAGCCACAGAGAATGAAGGGGCATGGAAGTCACCCCAATACCAAAATGGAAATGCACGTCCCTCTTGCAGAGTGTGGGCAGGAACATTAAGGCATCTTTCAGGGATGGAAAGCAATTTGAACCAGGATAGAGCTGTCTCTGTTTCCCTGTCCAAGGCACCTTCCCCGTCCCCAGGAGGGCCTTGGGGATTTTAAACTCTGGACTACCACTTCCCTTCCTTTAGATAGGGTAGCTGAGAGCTGGTTCCGTCCATGCTCTGGAGGCACCTATGATTGAGGAATGGAAGATATGGCAGATGAGCCTGGAATTCGATCATCCTAGGTATCTACAGCCAGAGAAACATTAGGGAATTGGAGGGCCCTGTGTGGAGTGACTAGGGAAGGCCTCCAAGGGTGGAGGAGCCAGGCAAGACTCCCCTAACCACCCTCCATGTACAAAACTCTTCCCAGGCAGAGAGGACGAGGACCATGGGTCGGAGTGACAGTCCCCCATCGCATGCTTCCCAGAGGACGGAAACCTTTCTCCATACCTGGACGTTACAGCTGACCAGCCAGCCAGGCCGACACTCTTCTCTGTGTGTGTCCTGTGCTCCACACTGGCATGTTCCACCAGGCTTGCAATGAATTCAGTGGGGTTCCTTCCAGGACTCTTGCTCTCAAGCAGTTGTGCATAAATGTGCACTACTGTCACAGTCTCAAGCTGGAGTGACCTTGTCCACCCTCAGCACTCAGAGCTCTTATTCCACTGCATAGCAGGACTCTCACCCCTTTTCTATCCCTGTGCCCAGGCACAGAGGGGCTCAATAAATGAATGAACATGATGGCTTCTTCTCCAGTACAGGGCAGAGGGCAGGAATGGCCTGGGCTCTGCACCCTGCCAGGCAGCTTGTCACATCAGCAGGCCAGGAGGCCTTTTCCAGACTGCAAAGGGCAATACTGAACAGCCCTGGTTCCTACCGTTGGATGGGAAAACAGGTTTGCAACACAGGTAAGGACGACAGCCCCAGTCCGAATGTAGACACCGTCTCCCTACTTACTGTCATGATCTCAAGGACCAAAATCCATGTGTCTTCTGACTTGGAGAAGAATCGGGCCCCGGGTCCTTCATCAATTCTCTTGTATGAAGTAAGTGCTTTGCTGTTGGGCACAGGCGATCAGTCATCCCCTGAGCATTCGGAAGAGCTCTAGAGGAATGAAACACTTCCCTTCCTCAGGGAGCCCCCAGCACCACGGGGAGACCACTGTCCCTGCCCCACAGGCGAGACACAGAGAACCCCGGGATGCTTAGAAAGGGGCACATCAACCAGAATAAAATCCTAGAGGGTAAACTTAGGTAATAAACATCAAGGTGTGGAAAGAAATTAGTGGGAGTTTTGTGGCTTCAGCAGTAAAGGAGGTTCATTAATTCACTAGGCTACATTACATTGACCTTCTGTGTCCCTCTCTAAAAAGAAGGAAATGGGTTATAAGTATTGATTCTTGGCAGGTAGGGTGGCTCTGAGCTTTTTTTTTTTAATCCTCACCCGAGGACATTTTTCCATTTTTTCATTCAGATAGAATGGGAGGGAGAGAAGAGAGAGAAACATTGACGTGAAAGGGACACATCGAGTGGCCGCCACCCACATGACTCCAACCAGGGCCGGGGACAAACTGCAACCCAGGTACGTGCCCTTAGCAGCAACCAAACCCGGGGCCCTCTGGACCGCAGGTCAACGCTCTAACTGCTAGGCCAAACTGGCCAGGGCTGGCACTGAGTTTTTTAAGAGGAAGGGAAGGGCCCTGGCCGGTTTGGCTCAGCGGTTAGAGCGTCGGCCTGCAGTCCCGAGAGACCCGGGTTCAGTTCCCGCTAAGGGCACATACCTCGGTTGCAGTTTGTCCCCGGCCCTGGTTGGTCGTGCGGGTGGCAGCCACTTGATGTGTTCCTTTCACATGGATGTTTCCCCCCCTCTCTCTCTGCCTCTCTCCCACTCCCGCTCTACCTGAACAAAAAATGTCCTCGGGTGAGGATAAAAAAAAAAAAGAGGAAGGGAAGGTGAGCCCTGGCTGGTGTGGCTCAGTTGGTTGGAGCATCATCCTGTGCACTGAAGGGTCACAGGTTTGGTTCCGATCAGGGCACATACCTAAGTTGCATATTCAGTCCCCCAGTAAGGGTGCATACAGGAGGCAAACAATCAATGTTTCTTTCTCACATTGATGTTTCTCTTGCCCTCTCCCTTCCTCTCTCTAAAAAAATTAAAAATTATATATATACATATAAATAAAATTATAAATAAATATATACATATATATCATCAAAAATAGTTTTTAATAAAAGGGAAGGTGGGAAAGGAGGAGGCACTGGTGGAGCGGGCAGGCTTTGCATGTGGTGCCAAGCGTTTTGAGACAAGCAGAGGCCAGTAAGGAGCCAAATGGTGTCAGCACGACCAGCAGGATTCTTCCATCCGACCTGTAGTGAAGCAGTCTGTCTTAAGACTGCTCATTGCAAGCCCTGAGTAAACCTAGGCCTCTTTTCCCCATTCTCACACCTTAGCCATGTGCAGTGAGAAATATGGGTGGAACAGCACAAGCCTGCTCCTGGCTCTAATGCAGAATTTCCCAGTTAATATGCTTCTCATTCCATCCTCTCCTGACCTCCTGACCCACCCAGCATCCCCGCTGTCTTCTCCACCTCACCCCACCCGTGCTTCGGTCAGTCCCAGGAGGTGGTTCGCTAATAACCCAACTTGAAAGTTCAGCAACAAGGATTAAAGATTTTATTCTTGTGTTTGAAGTTTGGGATGTTTAGGACAAGCTAATTTCACCAAATATTTAGTGATTTTCTTCTATGTGCCAGCACTCCGTTAGAAATTCAGATGGGACCAGAACGAACCGTGAGACTAGAATTTGTCCTTGAAGAAACCACCTTACAGGGCAGTCGAGATGGACTCACTCTGTGCAAAGGCCACGCCTGCTCTCCAATCTTTCACAAACCCACTATGTTCAATCAAGCTTCTGGTTTCTGCACGTGCCATTCTCTTCCCATTCTGGTGAATTCTTACTCAGAGGTCAAGGTCTCTGTAAAGCTTCCCCAGCCCAGGCTCCCTCCTCTCAGTTCCCAAGGAGGCACCTTGCATTCTTCCATTACAGCACTTCATATAATGTTGTTATAATGGTTTATCTCAAGTACATGGGACACATCTTACTTATCTTTACCCAGTGCCAACAATAAGTGCCTGGCATCAAAGAGAGTTTTGACAAAGGACTTGCACCTCCTGTCCTCAGAGAGTCCATCTGTAGAGGCCAGGAAGAAGCCAAACTTAATAAATAATAGTAGCTACAACTTAGGGAACGCATGTCCCGTAGTCCTCAAATATATCCAAATACTTTACTCTTGACCTCCTGTCTCAAAGCTCCTCCTGTTGTCAGTATCTCTACAAATGGCACCTCTAGCCCTGGCCAGTTCCAAATGTCTGCCAGCCTCTACACCCCCCCCCCCCCCAACCCCAGTACATTGGTCTCTCTAAATTCTGTCTCTCCCTCATGGAAATCCTAAGAGGGAGGTTTTAAAAAACCTTGAAGTCAAGAAACGTATTGATATCCAACTTAAACTCGGTATTTTCCAGGTACCCCTTTTGCCCACCGTACCATGTGTTTAACAGGATACACCTCTGGAAACACTGAAGCGGAGGCTTTCCCAGCAGCAACAGGAGAAGGGCTAGAGACTAAGCTAGTTGCACAGTGAAGTTGTGTGTAGAATGATGAAAGCTATGCAAACTGAGTAAGCTCACAGAAAGACTTGAAAGCCAGAATGTGAACTAAATCCAATGAGCAATGAGAAGCCATGTCAATACTTGAGCAGGAAAGTGATGGGTCATATCCTGATCCACCTCCATAAGGAGGTAGTCAAGAATTCCAAGGCCAGGCAGGCAGCTCAGAAGCAATTTACTGACAAGCTGAGATATGTGGAATGACCAAACAGGTTAAGTGGCTCTGAGGGGGCCATTATATGGAATATGAATAGTCCCGCCTGGAGTTACACAGTGGGGTCCGTTTTCTGGGCACATCTGGCTTCCAATCACAGGCGAGTGGTTAATGGACCCTACAAGGCCAAAACTGAAATCTAGCCCTTTAGTTTCAACAGTTCTCTCGTTTTAGTTAGCCACTGCTGTCATCAAACCGTCCTAAAACAATGTCTTAAAACAATGTTTCTCACAATTCTCTAGGTTTGCAGGTCTCAGCTGAATGTTTCTTTAGCTTCATCTGGTATCAGCAGGGGTCACTTGGGAGGCTGTGTGCAGCTGGAAGGGTGGCATTTGGGGTTTTGGTGCTACTGGTTGCAGTATCGAGGTTCTCCTACACATGGTCTCTCTTATTCGGTCCCTCATCAAACATATTCAGTTCAGCTCAAGCTTCTGGTTTGGAAAAATGTCAGCTGGTTTCCAAAAGCAAAAGTGGAAGTTGCCAGAATATTACTTCTGCCACATTTAATTACTCAAAAGCCCAGCCCACATTTAAGAAGGAGCAGCACACGAGAGATGGAACAAATTGCTGGTGGCTGTCTCTGGAGATGATCTACCACACCTCTTCTGTGAGATAAGAATGGAGGTTTCTAATAATGTTGGAATAGAGTAAATATAAAGTGAGCTATTCCCAGAGGCAAATACCCAGTTAAGAAGGACTGGTTTCTTGGAATGAACATGACTTGTCAAGAACAAAGGTGTTTATATCTCACATGGAACATCGGAGGAGCAATGGAGCCAGAGTTGTGCAACAGCAAAGGTTATTTTCTCCACTGTCGGGAACAAATAAACCAACCCCCAAACCCCAGAGAGTGGCGGCATGACCTGCACACACTATTGCGCAAGACAGAAGAAACCAACTGATACTTCAGCACCCAGGCACGATTCACCACTTGGCAGTCCTTTGTTTCCTCCTTAGTAATATTTAATGGCATTTTGTTGAAGATACCACAAAGGAAGTGGGCAATTATACTGCCCCCAACAGTAGGAAACAGTCTGGAAGAGGCTGTCACATAAGTTCGTAGCAGAAGGTGCTGAGGAGACCTGACTATAATTGCATGATCCCAAAGGCAGTTTCTAAAATTCTAGAACTCTAGCACACATTTTATGTTTAGGGGTTTCCTCCTCCTTCTCATTAACAGGCAAAAACCCCTGTACAGCATTTTGTACATATGTGCACCTGTGAGAGCCAGCGAGCCAGGCCTCTCCCTAGCTGTCATTCCCCCTCACTGACTGGGAGGCTATTTGAGCCTGCACACACCAAGAACCAGCTTAGGGTCTTGCTGTGAGTGAAGGCAGGCAGGAAGCCGGATTCCTGCTTTCTCAAACCAGGCTATATTATTTAACCCCAGTCCAGGAATGGACTTCAAGGGCTCAATTTTTCAACTATACACAAATGTGTAGTTTCATTATGTGAATTTAAAAAAGACCCAATACTTAAGATCCTCAAAAACAAGGATTACTGATCTCTGTGCCTGATTTTAGCACCTCTTACAAACCAAGTTTCTTTCATGTCATTTGGCTTCTCAATTGCTCTTCAAAGGCAGGCAGGCAGGCATGTTTATGACTACCCTGGAAGTCACACTAATATACATCCAAAATGCCACTTTTCGATTGTTTTGTATTCCAGAAGGAATGTGTACTGTAGTCTATTTTTCTATGCTGGCTTTTCATATGTAGTCCCAACCTTGATCTTGAACTCCATTTGAGGACATTCCTAACCCCAACCAGGCAACCAGCCCAGAACTACAGGAACAAACCAAAGCTGAGGACAAGTCAAAAGCATCATCTTGCTTTAAAAATGGTACACCATATTGT